TGCCGAGCATTTTTGACTGAAAATGTTTAAAAAAAAAAAAAAAGTCACTTTTGGTTTTTCGGCTGAAAAAGTAAAATGGCTAAAAGTTTTGATCCATAAAAATAACAATTAAGCAAGTCTACAGTGAAGTGTCAAAATCTGTTACTTTACAAATAAATTTAATGGTAATAAAAATGAGAAACACTGATTCAAAACAGTTTGTTCTTGGCTCCCGAGTGGCGCAACCTATCATCAGTAGATCGCGAGTTCGATCCCTGGTAATGCTACAGCCATCACTCTCTCTGGGTGGGTAGGATAGCTCCCCCATCACTCAGCGCAATGCTAATTAGCGCAGGCGTCTGTTAGCTGATGTAACAGATCTGGCGGTTGGCGCTTTCCTCCGAGCACGTTCGGCTGTCCAATGCCGAATGTGCAGTTTGAAAACATGTGGTGGAGCTTCACAGGTCTCGGAGGAAGCCTGTGCTCGCCTTCGCCCTCCTAGCCCTGGCAGTATCGGGTGACTGGGGGAGTCCTAACTAGTGGATGGAATTGGAGACGACTAAATTGGTGAGAAAACTGGGGAAAAATCTGTTGTTTCTTTCACTCTCCTGTGCTCCTCTGTTCAAACAGCCTGAGCAGCAGCGGATCAACAGCGAACACACACGCTGTTTAACAGTTTCTATGAGGGCGGTTATAATCACTGCTCGAGTGTCCAGAGCGAAATCACCCATGACCTTCTCCACTACAGGTTTGACAGCACTTGAAAATGTGACATCCCGCTGAATACACAGAATACAGCAAAACAGCCGAAGCAGAAAGGAAAGTTCCTGCCACCTGTCTTCGCCGTCTGTCTTCGAAATTCACAAACGACTGTAAAAGTGCAAATTATAACTAATAAAATTTCAGTGCTGTGGATGACCGACCATTTTCTCTTGCCTTGCCTAGCGTGTCCTTAACTTCGGTTTCAGTTTTGTCTGTGCATCACTATTTCTCTCTTTGATTGAGAGCACTGCTGTGTATGTTTCCTCCCTTCTGGATATTCCGTTCATCGTGTCTTTGGTTTTGCTGTTATTTGATTTGTGGAAGTGGCTGACGGCACTCCGGTATTTGTTTTTCTGTCTGTCTGTGAGTCCGGTCTTCTTTCCTGTGTGTGTGTTAGTGGTAAACAGTAGCTCCGGGCGTGCGGCCGGGCAGATTAGGGTGAATAAAGACTTGTGGGTCCCACACTGGCTGCAGCAGGAAGCTCCGCTGTGGGAAAAGACAATGTGCTGAAGAGGCTGTAATATGGGTTGCTGGCTAAAGCCTCCGGGGCGAGACGGTAACACAGAGTTCACTGGACTGTGTGTGTGAATTCAGGAGACAGTTTAGGCCTGAGCTTTCCAGCTACACTAATACCACTGTTCTTTACTCCATTTCTGTGTGTGTGTGTGTGTTTGTGGGTAGCTTACTTCCCCCGTCCTTTTTTTCAATCTCTGTTTCTCTGTCATTCAATCTCGCAGAGAATATAATTGTGATAAAGCCTTGTATAATTAAGTTAGTATGTCTTGTTTAATAAAATGCTGCTCTTCTTTACATATAAGTAGGCTAAACCTGCTTAAGCTGGTAAAGCTAACGTAGGTTTCCTCTCTTATTCGTATAAGTAGACTAAGTAGCTTGCATCACTGTATATGTGGACGAATACTAAAGTAAATAATGATAGGTAATGTAGTTTTTCGCTAAAATGAATAGGCTAAAAATGAATGAAGCTAGTAAACTAGTGAAGATGATCAATTTTCCTCTGATCGCCATGTAAACAGGCTAAACTCGTAAAGCTAGCAAACTAGCAAAGCTTTCCTCTCCTCACCGTATATGTAGCAAAGCTAGTAATGCTAGTAATGCAGTTTTCTTTTCTCTCTAGGCTCAAAGTAATGAAGCTGGCAACCTAGTAAAGCTAGTTAATCTCTCGGTCTGCTAAAATTAGTAAAGCTAATAAACTAATAAAGCTTTCCTCTCCTCACTGTATATATGTAGCAATGCTAGTAACGCAGTTTTCTTTTCTCTCTAGGCTCAAAGTAATGAAGCTGGCAACCTAGTAAAGCTAGTTAAGCTCTCCTCTCATCTGTAGGCTAAAACTAGTAAAGCTAGTAAACTAGTAAATCTTTTGTCTCCTCTCAATATATGTAGATTAATAGAAGTAAAGCCAGAAAAGCTAAGCTTGTTTTCTTTTCTTTTCATGCAAGCAGGCTATAGCTAGAAAAATAGCTAATAAACTAGTGAATCTAGTATACGTTTCCCATCTTCTCTACTAATAACGCCTATATGGAAAATGAATATACAATAATATATGTAATGTTTATATATGTGTAATATTTAAAACCTGTATTTATCAAATGCATTTGAAAACGTATGAAAACGGCCTCTGTATTTATCTGTAGGGGTAATAAAGCTAGTAGTAGATAGGTAGTAAACATAAACTGGTCAAGCTGCTGTAATGCCAGCTACTAAACTAGTAAACTAGGAAACCCAGCGTAGGTCCCCTCTTTAACGTGTAGACAAAGCTGACTAGTAAAGTCACGCTCTTAAAAAAGATGTCTCTTCAAGGGTTCTGTATAGCACCAGAAAGGGTTCTTGTCTTGACAATATCAAGCTTATAACAATAGTAGAACCCTTTTTGGTGCTATATAGAACCGTTCTCAAAAAAGTTCTGTATAGAACCGCACACGACACCCTCTTCATCAATCTGAAGAACGATTTCGCCATGCAAAGAACCATTTAAGCATGAAATGGTCCTATTCAGAACTCATGTACTAGTACAGCTCTTACTGCTGCTTCACGAAACGCCGCTCCTGTAAAGTCCTTTTAAAATTCTTTAAAAACTTTGATTTTAGTTTTTTTTTTATTTTTTCATTTATTGAAGCTGGAGATGCTTCTCTCTGTCGGCTCCTCGCTTCCTAAAACAAAACGAAACAATAGCATAAGTTTTACTTCAGACCACACTGGCTTTTTTAACATGTGTATCTTCAGCTATTCAACTCATTTAAACCCAATACTTACATTTAAAAGCGTCTCCTCTGCCGCCGCTCGCTCCTCTGCTGGCGCCGCCATGTTCTCGAATCCTCCCCGGCACTCAATGAACCTTTCCATGGAATAGAAAGACACATTTCTTGGCTGCATATGGAGCTTTCGAAACAGGACAGCCTAGTTGTGCCACTGTGACGCAATCGGCCTTCAAATGCAGCCTCCGAAGGACGCAGCCCCTGAAATGGGACACAGCTTGTGAGCCATGTTAGCTTTTAGCACAGGACTTCACAAACGGCAGAGAGAGTGTGTGTGTGTGTGTGTGTGTGTGTGTGTGTGTGTGTGTGTGTGGAGTGTGCTCGTTGGCAAGAGACAGACTGACATATCCCATCTGAAGTATTTCATTGAGTCGTGCTACGCTGAGCTAGAACGTGTGAGAGGTGGAGAGAGTGTGTGAAGAGAGGAGAGAAGGGCTACACACACACACACACACACACACACACACACTCTGGCCCTGCTGCACAAAACACTCGCATTCTTTCTGAAGTCTCTCACACACACTGCGCTGTGTGGGTTGTTATCTGATATTGGTGAGAGAGAGACAGTGGCATTAAGGGTGACAAAAGCCTTCAAAGGGGGGCCGCGCTGAAGGAAAACCCCCAGCACACGCCCTTCAAAGCTCTACGGCAGCATGTCCCAAACTTTTTTTTGTGGTCCCCTTTTTTTGAGCCCCCTTCAGTCTAAACTATCTGCTTTAAGTACCACTTGAAATTTGAAGTAGGTTAACGTTAAAAGGGAATTTCACTGATTTATCAGCGTTTTCTGCAGAATTCAGGGGTTGAGATGTAAACAGTCATTCAGAGTCTGATCTGATATCTGACGTCTGCAACACATACAGCTGCTGTGTTTACCGTCCAGAACCACCCACACGAGTCTCCTGAGTTTAGTATGTAGTGATGATGGTAGAATAGTGGAAAATCTTTTTAATATTATATTTTAAAAAATAGATCAAACTCTTTTAGTTAGTTAGTCTGTTAGTTTTCAGTGGCCCATTAATAGTTGTTTTATTTATTTATTTATTTATTTTTTGGGAGGGGGGGGATCCTGTTGGGTTTGTTTCTCTCTGAGTGAGTGAGCTTGTTAACATGCTTTAGAGGATCATTAAGAGATTAAAATGATTAGTTTGTGAGAGAGAGAGGGAGAAAGAGAGAGAGAGAGAGACTAGTAACAATCCTTGTGGGAAGAGAGAGAGTGTTGGGGTGATGGGGTGAAATGTTTTAATCTCTCTCTCCCTTTTCACTCTCTCTCTCTTTGTCTCTCTCCCCTTCTTTCTTTCTTACTTTCTTTCTTTCTTTCTTTCTCCCTTCCTTTCTTTCTTCCTTCCTTTCTTTCTTTCTTTCTTTCTTTCTTTCTCCCTTTCTTTCTTTCTTTCTTTCTCCCTTTCTTTCTTTCTTTCTCCCTTTCTTTCTTTCTTTCCTTCTCGCCCTCTTTGTCTTTGTTTTTCTCTCTCTATCTCTGTCTCTCACTCTTTCTTTCTTTGCATTTCTGTATTTCTTTCAATTTTTGTCTTTTAATCTTTTTTCTTTTTCTCCCACTTTCTTTATTTTCTCTCTGTCGTCTCTCTCTCTCTTTCTCTTTCTTTCTTTCTTTCTTTCTTTCTTTCTTTCTCACCCTCTATGTCTTTGCTTTTCTCTCTCGATCTCTCTATCTGTCTTTCTTTTTTTTTGCATTTGTATATTTCTTTCTTTCAGTTTTTGTCTTTTGATCTTTTTTCTTTTTCTCTCACTTTCTTTATTTTCTCCCTGTCTTCTCTCTCTCTCTCTCTCTCTCTCTCTCTCTCTCTCTTTCTCATTCTCATTCTCTCTATCTCTGTTCTCTCTCAGATCAAAGCACGGAGTTGTGCAACATACAGCATTAAAGATGATAAGTACTAATAAAACTATAATTATAATCAATATAATAACTAATTCTCTCTCCTTCTCTCTCTCTCCCTCTCTCTCTCTCTCTCTCTCTCTCTCTCTCAGAGGTCGTACACATTGATCCTGGAGGCCATGGACTTCAACAATGACTCCAGCACCGGGAGTGAGTAGAGTTTTTTCATTGTTTGTGTTTCTCTTTCCTGCTATCAGTTCCTCTCTCAATCTCTCTCTCTCTCTTTCTCTCTCTCTTTCTCTCTTCTCTCACACTCACATTATCATTGAGTAAACAGTCTGGGAATGAGAAAGCATGATCAAAATGGTGAGACGGGCATGAACAGGAAAAGAAAGAAACGACAGACTGTTGATACAGTGTGTGTGTGTGTGTGTGTGTGTGTGTGTGTGTGTGTTGAATGCTTATAAAACTGTTTTTTTAATGGCTGACGACTAAGAGCAGGTGCAGTGAATTAATAACGGGATGGAGTGTGACTTTCCACACTCTCTCACTCACAAACTGGAAAAATGTGGGAAATAAAAATCAAAATAATTAATCAGGATGATTTTTTTGGACATTATTACTTACACTTCTATTATACTTATGTTATATTATTATTACACGTTTGTACTCGTATATTTACCAAGAGAATTATGGTACATTTAATTTGTTTTGTATTTGAGGCAAAATACTACAAACCCCATAATTCTTTGCAACATTGACATACACTCACAAACAATGAAGACTGTGTGGGGTGGCTGGTCTTTGTAGTGAAATTCGAGTGAGTGTTTGAAGTCCATCCAAACATCACCAAGTTACTCTGACCTGCCAAGATCGTGTGTGTGTGTGTGTGTATGTGTGTGTGTGTGTGTGTGTGTGTGTAGGGCACTACTGCAAATATTGGCTCTCTCTTAACGTCAGCATGTCAAGTGGCCTTTAGCACTTTCCTACTGTAGAGCTGGCCTCATTAATACTCGCTCACTCACTCTCACACACACGCAGACACACACACACACACACACACACACACACACACACACACCCTATTAGGCAAAGGGGGAGTATCACAGAAAAATTTTCCTCACTTTTTTTAAATAAAGAGTTTGAAGTAGTATGTAAATGTGTATGTTTCAACATGTGATGTCCACTTCCCTGTCCATAGAGTCCATTTATGGAAATTAAGCTGCAAAAATAGCCAATTTTGAATTGATTATTGTTGTGACGTCACTAAGCGCATTTACATGTATCCGCCTATTCAGCCCACATCAGTTTAGCTCCGCCCACTTCAGCTGAAGCATGAGCGGCAGTTCGAAAAGATGCGGTGGCTGGTTTCACAGGTCTCGGAGAAAGCCTGTGTTAGCCTTTGCCCTCCTGGTGCTGGTGGTATCGTGTGATTGGAGGAGTCCTAACTAGTGGGAATTGGAAGCGTCTAAATTGGGGAGAAAATTGGAGGAAAAATAAATTAAAAAAAACAAAAAAAAGAGGGGTTGGAAATTTGTTCTGTAAAAACGAATTATGATCCAAATGCAATACATTGACCTCAGAAGGAAAAAAGAAATTTTTAAGTGATATTTTAACAAAGACAGTTTGTGAGCTAGCCTTGCTCATCCCACAAATAGATTCTTGCATAGCAACTGTTACTAGGTTGGACAAGCTGTACAGAACGTTAGCAAAAATCAGGTTCAACCTAAAGAGGAAATAATTTGAGTAATTTAGTAATGTGGCTAATTTACTGCCACCACCATTCTCACTGTTTTTTACACACGGCCAGTTTTGCAGGTACTGTACTCTGCGCACAAGGGGAGCTGGACGATTTAGGGAAAAATATTTGATTGAGATTTCTCTGACCAACATTGCAGTTGTGATTTAAATGTGATTATTTTCTCTAAATTAAGATACAGGCCTGTTCTTTAGCCAAGGAGACCAGTTATCAGTTTTTTCGTACTACCAGTGTCATGAGCTCTGCATTATTAGGTTAAATTTCTCCTCTTGAAACTTGTGAAGACAACATCGAACAATGTAGGATGTAATGAAAATTGCAGCTCTTGCGATTTGAAAATTGCACCCATTCAAACTGGGATTTGGATCAAAAAAGATGACGAATTGTCCAGCCCTGTGTGCAGGTGTGTGTGAGGGACGTGAGCTCACACTCTTTTCTGAGCTCAACCTGCCGTTCAAAACGTACTTCGCACAAGCGCCACACACACTCCTCTGTCCGCTGAGTAAATACCTCACGCTGGCGTGGGATTTCAGACGGCTGTGAAAGAATGACCACGACTCGTTCACCCGCCGTCAGCCTTCTGAGGGAGTAAACAGAGCACTCTCAGGTTCACTCTCCGTTCAGCGCACAAGGGCTTTGTTGACTGGCTTGTGGGCTGAAAGTTTTGGTTACAGGTGCAGTGGCCCCTAAAAAGTAACCGGACACTGTAAGCATGTAACTATTAACTTAAAAGAAGTTCTTTAGGTTTCCTCACAAAATGTCCATCAAAATCATATCTGTTTTTAGAGAAAGACGCTCGGTGGTGCTCACTGGCTGGAACCAGTTGAGTGTGCTGCCTGATGACTGTGACATTGTTTTGGAGAAGGTTTTGACCTAAAACATGTTTTTTAGTCCATTCATGGTGAAGAGGTGCGTGTGCAGCGCTGGGACGTAAAAAATGGTCCCCAAAGAAAATGTGTTTTTTTCAGATTTTATCACTATTTTACCATCATCAACGTTACATATAAAAGGCCAGAAGACACGTGTGAGTGGTTTTGCATAGTAAATATGCAATAAAAAATACGAGTCTCTCTCTCTCTCTCGCTCTATACATATATATATATATAGATATATATACAAATATACCCATATATACATGTATGTGTATGTATATATATATACATATGTGTGTGTGTGTATATATATATATATATATATATATGTATAACTTTACAGGAGAAGGAAAAAACATAACATATAAAAGAGATATAAGTTATATAAGAGATATAAGATATAAGTACAAATGTCAAAACAGGTTTTTGCTGACACTCTAAGTGTTTGTGTGGTGTGAACATGTTGAATGTTTGTGCTGTTACGGTGCAGAGAAACGTAATTAAACTGCAGCTGCCAGCACACGCTGTTCAAAACACTCACGCACACTCTCTCTCTCTCTCTCCCTCTCTTGTTCCTCTCTCTCCCTCTCTCTATCTCTAACTCTCTTCCCCTTCTCTCTAATCACTCTCTCCTGCTCTCTTTCTCTTTTCTCTATCTCTGGCTCATTCCTCTCTCTCTCTCTCTCTCTCTCTCTCTCTTCTTCCCCTTCTCTCTCATCACTCTCTCCCGCTCTCTTTCTCTCTTCTCTCTCTCTCTTTCTCTCCTTCCTTTCTTTCTGTATCTCGTCCTCATCTCTCCCGTTCTTTCTCTCTTCTCTCTCCTTTTAATCTCACTATCTATCTCTCTCGTCCCCTTCTCTCTGTCCTCCCTCTTTCCCGCTCTCTTTGTCTTTTCTCTCTCTCTTCTCTCTCCCTCCCCTACTCTCTCTCTCTCTCTCTCCCTCTCTCTCCCTCTCTATATTGCTATAATAGGTCTATTGTATTACAGTTGGGCACATATTTTGCTGATAATTGACCAATTCTGGTATATGAAACACATTTCTCTCTCTCTCTCTCTCTCTCTCTCTCTCTCTCTCTCCCCCAGGCATGAGTGGTCAGTTGATAGAGAAGGCGGTCCAGTCCGGTATGATTAACCCGAGCCCTCAGTGGCAGGCTCTGAGACGTAACGGCACAGTGGCTCAGTTCAACTACCAGATCCGTGTGATGTGTGACGAGCACTACTACGGCTTCGGCTGCAACAAGTTCTGTCGGCCCAGAGACGACTTCTTCGGCCACTACACCTGCGACCACAACGGAAACAAAACCTGCATGGAGGGCTGGGCCGGTCCAGAGTGCAACACCGGTGAGAGACCTCTACCACAGAAGGCCAGTTACAGGGACAGTTCAGCAAAACGTCTAGTTTACCTTATAAGCTCACACCCTTCACACTGGGGATTCACGATCCAAAATCGTATCTGTATCGGAAGATAAAAACAATTAGCATCGCACGGCAGTTGTTTTAGTGTAATATTTTGATATACAGCTTTGTTCATTCTGAGGTCAAGATTCAGTTTTATTTTTCAATATTTTATGTGTTAAAAATGTCTTAATTCTACAAAACCATGTTCTTGCAAACAATACACCATTTTCAAACCTTCCCAGTGTTAACATGCCGAAAAAGCATAAAATGTGTTGGAATGTAAATACTTTAATTTTTCGACAAAGGATGGTAAATTAGAGATGCTCAGAAGAGAGTGATATTGGCAGTACAGCTTTAAGTTTCCAATATAAGGAAGAATGTCCGTACAGCAAAATGTTTCGGCTTTAGAACATTTTTGGAATGCACTTCACTGAAGGGCTGCATTTATGACACCTACATAAGCCTTTCATGACAACTGAAATAAACCTACGCAGTGCTGAACAAAACCTCGTATCCCCAAAACGGTAACTTTACAGGAGTAGAAAAAACTATACTCTACTTTTAATGTAAGTCAATGGAACCAGACTTTTTACCAAATAATTTTGGGCCATTTTGTTTGGTCCATTTATCAAGAAATTTACACACAATGTAAAGAACAACAGGCACTTTCAAAAAACGCCAAAAACTGAAAAATGGCAAAAATGGAGATACAAGGTTTTGTTCCAACAACAGCGATAGACATTTATAAAGGCTTATTCCAACAAGCATCAGTTATCGTAACAGGAAGGAAAAATGACATCAAAGTTGACAAAAAATGCCTTTCTGAGAACTGACTGGAATAAGCCTTACTGGAATACTGGCCTTTATAAATGTAGGTTTTAAAAAGTTTGGTGGAGGAGGGATAATGGGCTGGGGCAGTTTTTCAGGGTTTGGGCCCCTTAGTTGCAGTAAGGGTTATGTTAATGCTACAACATTCATTCATTCATTGAAGACATTTTAGACAATTACATGCCTCCTAATTGTGTGGCAACAGTTTGGGGAAGACACTGTCCTGTACCAGCACAACTGAGGCCCTAAGCATAAAGCGAGCTCCATAAAGGCATGGATTGATGAGTTTGGTGAGGAGGAACTCCAGTGGCCTGCACAGAGCCCTGTCCTCAACACCACTGAACACTTTTGGGATCAATTTGAACGTCAGTTGTGAGCCAAATCTTCTCATCCAACATCAGTGATTGACCCCACCAGTTGTGGAAAGCCTCCCCAGAGGCATGCAATGAACCAAACTTCTGATTAATACCCGTGATTTTAGAAGAAATGCTGGACGAGTAGGTGTCCACAAACTTTTGGACATGCTGTGTCTGTGTGGTCAGTGCAAAGTCAGGCTTGTAGCTATTGCTGTCTGTTAATCAGTGACCTCATAGCCATTTTAGCACGCGCACGCTCGGCCCCCTCCGTAGTTAGTTTAGCGGCATTGAAGGTGGATTTGCGGCGGCGTAAGGTTGCCGCGGTAGCGTCTGGACACAGATCCGCGGCAGGATCATCTGGGATTAGCGCTGCGGTGGGAGATTCCGATCTTTCTTCATTCATCCCTCATTCCTGTGAGATAGAGAAAGAGGGCTGTGTGTGGGGCGGTTGGAGGGCAAGGGAAATGACCTCATGCTTGCCATGCTCTGTCTGTGCTGGATATGAGAGCGAGTGACATAAAGGGAGACAGAGAAAGAGAGAGTGATGACTTCACTGGCTATAGAGATAATGGAGAGAATGACTATGATAACAGATCAGTCTGATAAGAGATACAATAGTAATCACTTCCACACATTCCTCACCCCTCTCTCTCTCTCTCTTTCTCTCTCTCCCCCTCTCTCTTTATCTGTCTCCCTCTCTCAGCGATCTGTAAGCAGGGCTGCAGTGCTGAACATGGATCCTGTAAAGCGCCTGGAGACTGCAAGTAAATAAACTTCTATCTCTGTTTTCATTCCAAAAAAACTTCTCTATAAAATAAAAGTCTCCTAAAAGTTCCCAGTCTCAGGGGAATGTAGTCTTATAATATCAATATAATAATATACAGTATATAATAATATACTCTCTCTCTCTTTCACTCTGCAGGTGTTTGTATGGCTGGCAGGGTGAATACTGTGATCAGTGTATTCCTCACCCTGGCTGTGTACATGGTACCTGTGTGGAGCCCTGGCAGTGTCTGTGTGACACTAACTGGGGAGGACAGCTCTGTGATAAAGGTATTTCATATCCTTCTGTTCTCAGTTCTGCTGCATGTCTGCGCTATTTTATTCGGTTCCATTCAGTTCCATTCAGTTTCACTTTATTCCATCCTGTCCTTCTATTCTATTCTATTCTATTCTATTCTATTCTATTCTTTTCTATTCTATTTATTTTATTGCTTATTTTATTACATTCTATTGTGTTCTTTTCTATTCTATTCTATTTATTTTATTGCTTATTACATTCTATTCTATTCCCTTTTATTCTATTTCATTTTGTTCTACTCTGTTGTCTTCTGTTTTATTCTGTTCTTCCCATTTATGGTGTTCTGTTCTGTTCTTATTTGTTCTGTTGTATTATATTCTGTTTTATTCTATACTATTCTATTCCTCTGCATTGCATTTTATTCTGTTCCCCTTTATTAAAATTTTATTTTATTCTATTATTTTATATTTTCTTTCTCTTTAAAACATTCTGTTCTGTTCTGTTTAGTTCAGTTCCCCTTTAGAGCATCTGTTCTGTTCTGTTCCAACTCATTTTTATTCAGTCCCATTGAGCCCCTCAAAATTCCAGACTTATTACATATTAAGGCTTATTATTCAGTAACTACAGGGACTTCAGTGCAAACTGGTTGAGCCAGGCGTCGCAACCCAAATGTTAAGAAGAGCCATTTTGTCTTTTCAACAAAAATCTAAACACCTTGGGAGCCACAACATTTTATGTCCATTTTACCATCTTGGCTGTAAATGTGTCTCAGTAAGTGCTGATGTACCAGTATAGGCTAAAAATATAATATAAATGAAAACGCAGACTAACTTTACTCTGCTTTAAGCTTTGGCCTCTTTTCCCGCATCTCTGGCAGGAAACTTTTCCTCAAAAGTGGAACAGTTTCTTGTAAAATCTCTCTCAACGTTCGATTTTTTTATGAGGCTGAAGTCGCGTCTCATTCACCAGCTTCTTGTTCGAATTTTCCTGTTCCACCTTAAGTGGTGCCTGAGGTGCCTCAGTGTAACTGCTGCACCTTTTAAGGTGGTACGGGAATTTGAACATGAAGCTGACTTTAGTGTTTGACAGTTTCTCGTTGCAGATTAAACGTACCAGGAAACCAGCTGGAGTGATTATAAATGCAAACAAGTCCATTCGTCTCCAAATTATCGATATTCGTCTTTAGTCTTTCTCTTTGCCGTTTCGTTAGCTACTAGCTAGGCGAGACTGTTGTCTGTGTTGCTATGGTGACCAGCAGTCTGCGCGCCAACCTTCAGGGTCAAAGGGTGAATTAGCAGTTCTACAGTAACTCCAGCGTTTAAGACCATTTATTGATAAACTGTGTTGAACCATCAGAAGAGCTTTATTTTCCAGCAGAGGAGGATTATTTTATTTTTTACTTTAAAATCTAATTCTG